GAAAAATGCGAAAATTACTGGGATAACCCCACCACGTTTCCAAGTAAATGTACTCCGTTGTTCATATCATATGAATCCAAATAAAACAGTCAGATGCAACAGGCGGAACTGCGAAGATCTTTCCCTTTGGGTATACAACCTATTGCCGCAATGAAGGAGAAAACAGTTACTTTCAACAAATCTAAAAATAAAGTGCATCTAATGAAAACGTGGACTTTTGCATCTACTGCAGCTCGGCGTAGATACTGGGAATTTTTTGCTGCCGATAGAGATAGATTCAAGAGAAAAATTGAAACGACTTCTAAAATTCTCAAGCCATTATTAGATAAACATCTTGAAAAAATTCGCCAACTAAAATCCGAAATAACACACTACGATAACCAGTGTAAAATGGCTAAACAGATGAACATTCAAAACAAGTGGGATGATGTATTTACGAATCCTTATCGATTTTCCGCAACGAAGGATGGACCTACATCTACAAGAATTGTACCAATTACTTTATAATTTTACATTTATTATATTTTAATATGCTTAATATATGCTTACTTGTCCTTGTTTGTATTATTTCCTCTCTCCCTCTACCTTTCATGTATAAGAAAAAACAGTTATAAGACTTTACAAATCATTATGTACCTCATTCGTTTATAGACAGTGGTCTGTTGCTTAATAACAATGGTCGTTTTACGTTCCAATTTCATAATTTTAACTGCAGTACTACAAAATGTGTTGTACGTACATGATATACACAACGTACACGAAATGTATTTGTGCTACAGAAATGTTAGCGAGAATGATACGTGCCCACATACGTTAATTCAGATGAGACGTAATATAGTTAACGGTGGAAAGCTGAAGGTCTTCGGGGCGTCAATTCCGGAACATTTTAAATTCTACAAGTTGAGAATAACGTTTCAAAATAAGTCGATTTGGGATTTTGATACCTGGAGGTCATTACCTATTTTAAACTGCTCCGATTATGAAGATGTATACGCAGACGCACTCATCATAGCGTCTGAAAGTACGAAAACAGATTTGAATACGATTTCTGGATTTATTTACTTTATAACAGTCGCTACAATTGTATTAGTACTGAAGAGTATTGCAAAAATCATTCAAAAGTATTATGGTTAATGTAGCGAAAACAGCATAAACTCCACATTTTTGCCGCAGTTCTCCAGATTGACTGGTATCAACAACATACGGTTCATTAGCGCAGCTCCTTCAATAATTACAACCCTACCACCTCCATTGTATAATATTCAAGTTGTTATCAGGAAACAAAGGGACTAAAAACACAACTTTTGTTCTGTAAATTTAACCATTAGATGTTTAATTATTCTTCAGTATATCATAGTCAAGTGTAGCGATAGGTGCTTTTAAAGAGAGCGTAATGTCTGGTAGGAAGCCAATCGAAGTCAAATTCCGTTCTGAGGACGAATGTTGGGGACGGCCTGAAAAGGTTTGTCGAATATGTCGAAGGCGAGAACGAAACGTTATTTTTTTACCTTGCGCCCATGTGGAAGTCTGCTGGATTTGCGGAATGCATATAAAATTTTGTACTTTATGTTATAAAGAACTTTCAGCAACAGTTCGAATATGATATTAAATAACTATCCCATATACATCATGTATTACACCTACCTTATGCCAATAAATAGATATAAACAAAATTGTTTCTCGTTTCTTTTTCGTATACCTATCGAGTCAGGTTGGCCGAGTGGTTAAGGCGTCTTGTTTAAGCCTTGGTTCCCAAAAGGAGCGTGGGTTCGAATCCCACATTTGACATTTTTGATAAAAATGTAATTGCTTCCTGTGAGATTTGAACTCACTACCTCCGGTTTACAAGACCATCGCTCTACCACTGAGCAAAAGAGGCTCATGCTAGGTTTACTAGCAAGCCTGCATATTAAGCTAAATTTTTTGCTAACACTACAATTAATTATAAAGGAAATAATATATCAGGTTACAGTTTATGCTAAAAAACAGGTCTGAACCTGTAGAAAACAGGTCTGAACCAGTAGAAAACAGGTCTGAACCTGTAGAATGCTGTTTGGAGAGCATTGACCTCGAATGACGCAATATCGGATAAGAATGACGCAATGCTGTTAAAGGAAATAGTATATCAGGTTACAGTTTATGCTAAAAAACAGGTCTGAACCAGTAGAAAACAGATCTGAACCAGTAGAAAACAGGTCTGAACCAGTAAAAAACAGGCCTGAACCTGTAGAAAACAGGTCTGAACCTGTAGAAACTTGACCTCGAATGATGCAATCCCAGATAAGAATAACGTAAAGCTGTTTGGAGGTCACTACCTCCCCATATCGTGATTGAATTTTAAATTTACCACCAACTGGCCATGTGACGTCACTTCAATGCCGCCATGACACTTCTTGCATGCCACCATCCAGCTCATGAACTCTTCAGGGTCACCCCAGAAGCCAATGACCACAAGGTGGACCCTCAAGCTCGCTGGACGCTGACCATGTGGTGACTTTGACAAGACCTTGACCCCAGGTGACCTTGGCATGACCTCGAGGTGACCTTGACCCCAGGTGATCTTGGCATGGCCTTAAGGTGACCTTGACCCCAGGTGACCTTGCCACGTCACTTCCTGGTCCAGAACCGGACTCATCTATCTACTTCTATACATACCCCTTGAACGCGACAACCCTTATCTTATTAGGACTGGTATTACAGATGCCAAGGGTTGTACTCTTCCGCATGAAAGCGTACCGGTTACGCTAACGTGAGGAAGAAAGTCGACCACCAACCTAAATTCCTTTCTTCTTAATCTCGCAAGCACCATCTCCGTACACCTCAACAGATTAGCGAAGAATGAACGAGTAACCGACGTGTCTCAACTAGTAACTTACTACGCGTATAAGATGTCGTCATGTTTTATTTACATCACGTTTTACCTCATGCTGTTATCACATTTGAAATAATTATCAGTTTTAAAAAAGGTGTTAAAACTTCTTCAATAAAGGTGAGTTTTTTAAAATATGGCGTGTCGCATATCAAATTAAACGTCTTGATTAATGCAATAAGATAGTGGGTCTCATCAATTTTTTTTCTTTTGTTCGGGCCGATGATATGCTTGCCCAGTAGGTAGAAAGCGCTCACTATCTTTTCATTTTACTCACATTCAAAATTTTTTTCGAATACTTTTTATGTGAATCACGCCCTATTTTTTTTAATCAAACACATCTTAATCACGCGACCTCTTTTCAGGCGTTAAAATTATATCTCGCCGACACTAGTTACCTCAAAGGTAATAACCAAGCGCCTCCTACGACCTTCTAGTCAGTTTATCTTCAATCTTTGAAGTGTTAAGATCACAGTTAGTTTTCTTCTCGCGCTCGACGCTATTCAATCAACTTTCAAATTACTTTCGTCAGGAAGCGTTTTATCAGATTTGGTATCTTTCAGAAATCCTACTATCACCACTGCAAGATGTCTAAATTTTTCATCGTCAAAGATACCGTGAAAAAATTCGTCGTTTCAATCTACAAGGACGAGTCTTGGAATTTTAAATTAGGCCGGTACCCGTCGGCGAAGAGCCTGTTGGATGGGTCAAGGAAGCCGTCAACTAAATAATTCAACGGGGAACCGAACACCTTAGTCCTGAAGATCAAGAAGCGTTTTCCTTTTGCTTCAGGGATTTCGCCAGAGGTGATGGCTGGGTCCGCTTCAAACCCACTAAAGAAGTTACCTACGACGACGTATGGGACGTCATCTCCGCCGTATACCAGTCCAACTCCTCGGGACTAAACACCGAGACGTTCTGTCTGGGCGTGACTTCTGTGCGTATGCCCACAGGGAAAGGACATGGTGAAAAGTACAACGCCTTCGACGAGGAGTGTGTCAAGCGGCGTGGTATTGTTACCATAAACAATACAGACAATATGTGTTTGCCGCGCGCCCTCGTCGTAGCAAAAACCTACGCGGACAAAGACAAGGACCAAACCAAGGTGCGTCGCGATATCGGAAAGATCCAGACGCAAAGGGCTCAACACCTGATGCGGATGACAGAGGTTATCATACCTGAAGAGGGCGCAGGTATCCCTGAGCTGCAGGAGTTCCAGCGGTATCTCTCCGACTACTGCATCGTCGTGTACCAGTACGGTAGCAAGGGACGTGACGTGATATCTAAGGGCTCCACAGAGGGTCCCTCGTTAAATTTAATGTATCACGAGGGGCACTATAATATTATCACTTCGCTGACGGCTGCCTTCTGCTGTGATTATTATTGTGAGAGGTGCCAGGTCCCATATAATACTAAAAACAAACACAGATGTGGTGGTACCTGTCCGTCATGTCAACAGTCGCTCGCATGCCCCGAAGACATCGCTGTCACCTGTTCCGATTGTCAGCACGGCTTCAGGGGGCAGCAATGCTACGACAATCACAGGAGCCAGGGATCAATGGGAAAGAGCTCGGTTTGCGAGCAGATTCGCCGTTGTCTCGACTGTCTTAAGGTGGTAAAAAATGGCAGAACCCATGTCTGCGGGGAGATATATTGCAAGATATGCAATGCCCACGTGCCCGCAGACCACCTGTGTTACATACAGCCCAACACAGGAAATCCAAAGACAACTGACCTTCTCTTTGTATTCTACGACTTGGAGACCCGGCAAGAGAAGGCGCAAGAAGATGGTTTCCTCCTGCATGAACCAAATCTCTGCGTTTTTAAGCAATGCTGCGACACATGCCTCAACACGCCGCAGACAATCTGTAGTAAATGCAGGGTTAGACTGCAGATTTTAAGGTTCAACGACCCCATTTCGCCGTTCCTCCACCACCTCATGACCATGAGGAAATAATTCAAGCAGGTGGTGGTCGCCGCACACAACGGGCAAGCCTTCGACCACCAGTTCTGCTTAAACTACATCCTGACGCAAACGGACCTCACCCCCGAACTCATCATGCGAGGGACGAAAATAATTTCCATGGTCTAGGGGAACGTAAAATTTTTGGACATCCTAAATTATTTCCCCATGGCTTTATCTAAGCTGCCCAAGGCTTTCGGCTTGGGCGATAATTTCAAGAAAGGCTATTTCCCCCATCTTTTCAACACCGCAACCAACCAAAATTACGTAGGCCCCCTACCCGCCGCCGAATACTATGACCCCGATAATATGACGCCGGAAGAGCGCTCCAAGTTCCTCGAGTGGTACGAGGGCCACAAGTACGACGAGTTTAACATGCAGAGAATATTGCATTTGGGATGTGGAGATCCTGACGGCCGAATGTCCCAAGTTCCGACAGCAGCTGATGGAAACGGGAAACGTCTGCCCATACACGGAAGCCTATACCATAGCCTCTGCGTGCAATAAGGTGTACAGGCGCAATTTCCTCCAGCCAAACACCATCAGCATCATCCCCAAAGGCGGCTACAGATGGCGCGACAACCAAAGCAAGATAGCCATCCAGTGGTTGGTATGGGAGGAACACACCAGGGGCCTCAACATTTCTCATGCTGCCAATGACAAAGAAGCACGAGTCGCAGGAGTCAAAGTTGATGGCTACAACCCTGAAACCAAACAGGTGTTTGAGTTTCACGGGTGTTACTTCCATGGTTGCCCCGACTGCTTTAAATATAATAGAGACAAGTCCCTACACGAAAACCCCTCCCAGACATTAAGCACCCGACACGAAGCCACCCTTGCAAAGATACAAAGACTTCGAGACCTTGGTTACGAGGTCGTTGAGAAATGGGAGTATACGTTTAGAAGATTAAAGGCGCAAGAGAGGCAAATCGAAGACTACACTACCAATCACCCCTTAGTTACGCTGACACCGCTAAACCCCAGAGACGCATTTTACGGGGGACGTACAGGTAATATTTTCGAGTATTACAAGTGCGGCCCAGGGGAGAAAATCAAATACGTCGACGTCTGCTCCCTTTACCCCTGGGTCTGCAAATACGGCAAGTTCCCCGTAGGACACCCCAAGGTGTATGTGGGTGAGGAATGCCCTACAGATCTTCGCAATGTAAACGGGATTGTTAAATGCAAGATCCTCCCGCGCCAGAATCTCTACCACCCTGTGCTCCCAGCCAAGATGAGCTTGTTCTTTGTAGCGCCTACGGAGAACACATGAATAAGGGCAAGTGCCATAGTGACGAAGAGCGAACTCTCACAGGTGTATGGGTGGTAGAAGTTCAAAAGGCCGATGAAAAAGGGTATCGTCTGCTGGAGATCTACGAGATCTGGAGCTACGACGTTCAGCAGTACGATAAGACCAAAAATGTATCTGGTTTATTCACGGNAAGTGCCATAGTGACGAAGAGCGAACTCTCACAGGTGTATGGGTGGTAGAAGTTCAAAAGGCCGATGAAAAAGGGTATCGTCTGCTGGAGATCTACGAGATCTGGAGCTACGACGTTCAGCAGTACGATAAGACCAAAAATGTATCTGGTTTATTCACGGGGACGATGAACAAGTTTATCTCCGTGAAACAGCAGGCGTCCGGGTGGCCCGCGCACTGCTGTAGCCAGGCAGACAGGGAGCGTTATATTGAGCAGTTTCTCGAAAGAGAAGACGTCAGGCTGGAGTTTGCGGAGATCGTGGAGAACCCAGGGCTACGGTCTCTCGCAAAACTCATCTTGAACAGTTTCTGGGGGAAACTTGAACAGAGGGAGAACCAGCCCAAAACATCCAACGTGAGAAACCCCGCGGAATTCTTCAGCATGCTCACCAACCCCAGCATCTACGTTAATTCGGCGCTCCCGATCAACGAAGACACCCTCGTCGTCAATTGGGAGCACATGGAGGAGGCCTACGACCCGCTCACTACCGTAAATGTCGTCCTCGCTGCGTACGTTACCACTCAAGCCAGTCTTAAGCTGTACAGTTACTTGGAACAGCTGGGCGACAGGGTCCTGTATTACGACACAGACTCTGTCATTTACGTATCTCGAGACGGAGGGTACGACGTACCCACAGGAGAGTTCCTAGGCGATATAACAGACGAGTTGGAAAGGTACGGACCCGGAAGCTACATAACCGAGTTTGTCAGCGAAGGTCTGAAAAACTACCCATACAAGGTCTTCTCTACCAAGGATAACGAGGAGAAGGTCGTGTGTAAAGTTAAGGGTATATCCCTTAACTACACAGCCTCACGACTGGTAAATTTCAACACCATAAAAGATATGGCGTTGGACACTTCTGCCAGCCCTGTATGCGTGGTCTCAAGAAACATCTTGAGGACCAAGGAGCACGAGGTGGTTACAGTGCAGCAAACCAAGCTGTATAAGCCTCTCTCCGTCAAGAGACGGTTCTTAGACGACCACAGCTCTGTGCCCTACGGGTTTAAAAGACCTGAGCCAGAGTAATTATTAACCTGTTTTAGTAGTGATATAATGAGAGCGCAAATAAATGTGAAATGTGAAGGTCATGACCTTGACCTCNAATGATTTATTGTGTTATATTTAGTATTTTGCTATCATTTAATTTCAATTATACAATTTCCTTTGAACATTGAATTTTTTTTGTTATTCTATCTTATTATTTCCTGTAGATATTGAGTTTCTGCTCTTTCTTCTATTGTTAACAATTTGTGAATTTCACAATATATATATATACAGAGTGGCCCAAAAGTCGCGCAACCGAATGAAAAAAAAATGAAATTACGTAGCAAAAATACAAAATTTATTCATCAAAAAACAAAGTATACAAATTATGTTTGAAGCGAGGCAAAAACCAACTCCCTGGTATCACAGCTTGTGTTCAAAGTGCCCTCCATCTTCTTCGATGCACTTCAGACATCGCTTTTTAACGGCTTTACAGATGCGCTTCAGTAAAGGTTTATCATCATTCATTTGGGCGACTTCATCAGTTATGATGTTTTTCATGGTCTCGATGTCCGGTAATTGATTTTTGAACACCCTGTCCTTCAAAATACCCCACACGGCAAAATCTAAGGGAGTCAGGTCCGGAGAACGTGGAGGCCATTCGATTTGATCTCTTCTACCAATCCAATCCGGGAAAAAGTTATTGAGGAATTCGCGAACGACTACAGCGTAATGCGGTGGAGCGCCATCTTGTTGAAGAGTTAAACAGTGACCAGCAAACTCCGGGTTATTATTGAGTTCTTCGCGCAGTTCCATCAACAAATCGAGGTATGCAACCCCTGTGACAGTTGAGTCGAAAAAGTAGGGCCCGACGATGCCGAAGGAGCAAGCACCAAGCCATACCGTTACTCCGGGCACGTTTAATCCTTTTTCAATGGTGATATGCGGATTGTCGGTGGACCAGTACACACAATTGTGCCTGTTGATACGCCCATTTAATTTGAATTGTGCTTCGTCCGACCACAAAATTGTTTTAAAGAAATTTTCGAACGCTTCGCATCGAATTACGTACCATTCTGCGAGCCGACGATCCGGATCATCTTCTGTCAATGCTTATAAGAGGCGTGGTCTGTAAACGTGCAAACCTAGTTCCTTCATCATTCGCTGTAGACTGGAACGAGACATTTCCAATTCATGGGCAGCTTTACGGACTGATCGCGCCGGTGTTTCAACAAAACTCTGAGCGACGGTGTGTAAGTTTTCTTCAGTTCGCACGCTCCGTGGCCGGCCCGAACGCTTGGAATCATTCACACTGCCACTTTCTTCGAATCTTTTTATCAAGCGATACACAGTTTCACGCCTCGGAACTTGAGAATCAGGAAATTTTTCGGCGAAATCGGAAAGAATGTTTCGATACTCGGCATGATAACGATAGTATGAAGTCACTAAAAACACACGTTGCGCGACCGTAAACCGATAACGTGATCCCGTTGCCATAGTTACACATTCGTATAGCCACAATATCGCTTTGCACACAGACAACCGTTAAACTGCCGATAGAACAGCTATGAGCCGAGGAAACGGCTCATGCGGATTGCGCGTTAGCGTTGCGCGACTTTTGGGCCACTCTGTATACATATATACAGGGTGTCCGGAAATTATGCGCCAAGACTTCAGCAGGTGATTCCTCACAAAAATTAGGGTCACAAAGTCCTATAACAATTTTTCGAAAACTCAATATTAACGGAGATACAGGGTGTCAAAAAAAATTTTTTTTTTTAGTTTTTCTTAGACAACTTTTTTATTTGTGATTTGATTTGTTCCAAGTCTTTCCTATGTATTACTAGTGCCCTTATAGATTTATGTTCCAAATATGATGCAAATAATCCAGTGCCAAACACCTAACCTGACCTTAATCTTCGATCTATGGCCAACAACTTTTTTGTTTTCACCGCTTTATAAATTTGAACAGCACCATGTTAAAGAGTATCAAAAATTATTTAAAAAAGTAACTCTTGTTGCGATACAATAAAATGAACCGTTTCTGAGAAAAACGACTTCAAACATTTTCATGTGTTAACGCTGTTTTAAACTGATATTTACAGTTTCAACTAATTTACAGTTTCAACTCATCAATACAAAATTTATTCACTAACTACATTATTAAGTAAAATTTTTATTTAGTCTATGCTCTTATAATAAGTTCTCGAAATGATGTCCTTCCATTTCGACACACAAATTCATTCTTCTCAGAAAGTTGCAACGAACCCTGAAGAATATGCCCTCTTTTGCTCTTATTATTGCAAAACTGTCAATAATTCGTTGCCTCAGCTCTTCCACGTTATTCACAGGCCTTCTGTATACCAGTGACTTAACATAGCCCCAAAGGAAAAAGTCGATCGGGTTCAAGTCGGGCGATCTGGCAGCCCACTCTATGAATCCACCACGCCCTATCCACCTCTCAGGGCAAATTTCATTATGCTCTCTCACCGTTAAACTGTAATGAGGCGGTGCACCGTCATGCAGTAGCCACATTACACGTCGCACTCCAATAGGAACGTTTTCCAACAAAACTGGCAGATCATTTTGTAAAAAGTGTAGGTATACCTCACCACCAAGCCTTTGAGGAAAGAAATGTGGCTCAACTAAATGATCTCCCACGATTCCAGCCCATACATTCACAGAAAATTTATTCTAGAACCCACATTCCACTACTAAATGAGGATTCTCGTCACACCAATAATGTTTATTATGTAGATTTATTACACCACCATGCCCGAATCCAGCTTCATCCATGAAAAGAATTGAATTGATGAAATATCTGTTGCCATCATGGAGATTTGTAATTGTCCTGCAAAAATTCAGTCGTGCAATCGGATCTCTAAGAAGTAGGGCTTGGATCTTTTGATAGTGGAATGGATGCAGAAGTTGTTCCTGCAAAATTTCATGGACTGAGCTTTTGAGAATATCAGGATTATTATCAATCACATCCAGAACACGAACTTCAGCCCCAGGATTTCGAGTTCGTCTTGGGCGACCGACATCAAACCGCCTCGTCTTAAAAGAGCCAAACTCACCTAATTTCTGATGGACAGTATTGAACAACTGCGGTTGTGGAATTCTTCTATTTGGAAATGCATCTCGATACAAACGTTTTTTATCAGTTTTAATCACGATACTTATTACACACAAATGATCATAACAGAATAATTCACATAAATATTATCTGTCAAAAGTAGCTAAGGCAACATTAAGTAATTGATTTCAAAGCCTCCTTTGTAAATCTTAAAAATCAGTTTAAAGCAGCGTTAACGCATGAAAATGTTTGAAATCGTTTTTCTCAGAAACGGTTCATTTTATTGTATCGCAACAAGAGATACATTTATAAATAATTTTTGATACTCCGTAACACGGTGCTGTTCAAATTTATAAACCGGTGAAAACAAAAAAGTTGTGGGCTATGGATCGAAGATTAAGGTCAGGTTAGGCCCTTTGGCACTGGAATATTTGCATCATATATGGAACATAAATCTACAAGGGCACTAGTAATACTTAGGAAAGACTTGGAAAAAATCAAATCACAAATAAAAAAGTTATCTAAAAAAAACAAAAAAAAAATTATTTTTTTGACACCCTGTAGCCGTTAATATTGAGTTTTCGAAAAATTGTTATAGGACTCTGTGACCCTAATTTTTTGTGAGGAATCACCTCCTGAAGTCTTGACGCATAATTTCCGGACACCCTGTATATATATCGGGCGTTTCACGTCAACGGGCACAGTGGGCTGCCCAGAATAAAAATGCATCAATATTGACGTTCGACGTGTCAAAAGCTTCGTATATAAAAACTCTATCGGTAGTGATATAATGAGAGCGCAAATAAATGTGGAATGTCAAGGTCATGACCTTGACCTCAAATGCCAGATGTCGATGACATCATTTCTAAAAATAGAACATTACATCATTCCTAAAAATAAAACGCACATCTGTCGATGACATCATTTCTAAAAATAGAACATTACATCACTTCGAAAAATAGTCACGTATAGTTGCCAGATGTCGATAACATCATCTCTAAAAATAGAACGTTATGTCATTCTTAAAAATAGAATGTGTGACATCATTTCTAAAAATAAAACACACATCTGTCGATGACATGATTTCTAAAAAAAGAACATCACGTCATTCTTAAAAATAGATTACGTCATATCTAAAAAAAAACAAGACACGCATGTATTGATTTCCCATGCCTTATTTAATTATATATTGAAGAAACAGTTTAGATCAGAACTGGCAACCCAAATTGAAAAACGGATTACATTGACAATCTAAAGATTCCCAAGAGCTGAATATAAATAAAAAATATAGAATTTCAATTTATTTTTCGAAATCTAGTTTGCAACGAATTGCTGATTTTTGTAAATGATAAATTGAGTGCGGAGGTGTTTAAATAATTTTAATGTTTAATAAAATACATTTTGAAATATCAGATATTTCAAAAAGAATAATTCATATACCGTAAGTTAATCAGTTTTTCGGAATATGGGCTGTATATTCGAAGAACAATTCACACAATAAGTGATGCAAATTTACAGCTGTGACAATCAATTAGTTAAAAAGAAATCCTGCAATATAACAGTTTATCACCATTAAGACATAAAAGGCTTATTTACTAAATTATTAGCTCTAAAGTTTCTCGGGTTTTACTAATATGTTTTCATTGGTTGTTAAGCTAATATGACAGCATAGATGAAGAGCAATGATCTGTTCAATGTTCAAATAGTAAACAAAGGTCATATTTTTGTCATATACAAGTTACAAATGCGTAAGTTTATGTCATCTATAAACTAGCTTAATGAAAAAGAAATTCTGGAACTAGAGCATTGTGCAGTTTCTCACAATAAGTCATTGACTGGTTTATTGCTTCAACTTCTGGGAGGGCTCAAAATATTAACAATTCAAACTTTGGTTAAGTTAAAGAAAAAATCAGTTGTTTAGTAAGTATTGTTCAATTTAAAGTTCCTTAAAGCAAATGGTAAGGTC